GTCCCTTCTGGAGTCTCTAGGACAGCATCCATTTCCTTGCCTTTTCCAGCTTCTAGAAGCCACCAGCAATCCTTGGTGTATGGCCTTGAATCATTTTGACCTTTGCTTCTGTCCTCTCTTTTCCTCCTCTGACTCAGCTACTCCTGTCTCTCTCTTATGAGGACTCATGAGCCCACTGAGTCCTCTCAGGTAACCAGAATAATCTCTCAAGATCTGTAACTCAGATGCTCTTATCTGCACAGTCTCTTTTGCCATGTCAGGCAGCACAGACACAAGTTTTGGAATTGGAATATGGACATCTATCGGGAGTGTTATTCTGCTGACCACACACTGTTGTGAGCTTTCTCATGTGCTCTTGTTCCTCCTGACCTAACTGGGGGCAACTGGAGATACAGAAAGGGCAAAGGATAGAAGACAGACATGCAGAAAGTTGGAATCAGGTGTGCTGGGTGCTTGGATGGAGATGCACAACAGTCTCGTTATTTCTTTTCTCTATTATTCTCTTCTTTTACCTTGCATCTTTCCTCTTATTTTTTAAAACCTTACTTCTAAAGTCTTTCTTCTTCTCTGTTGTTTAAAACCTTACTTCTAAGTCTTTCTTCTTTTCTATTCTTTAAAGTTTCTTTCCTTAGACTCGCACTGTCCCATGTTTTCCTTAATTTCTCTTGGCCCTCAGACTTGCACTGTCCCATGTTCTCGCTTAAAGTCTTGGTCCTCAGTCTTACACTGTCCCATGTTCTTTTTAGCTTTTCTTTAGCACAGCTTTTCTAAAGCCTATGTACAAAGTTCTCGGTGCAGAAAGCTGCTCTGGTGGAGACACACAACAGCCAGCAGCAGCAGCAGCGTCAGCAGCAGCCTCACAAGCAACCACCAATCCAAACCCATCAACCCTCCATCAGTCAAATCCTCACCAAAAAACCTCACATCCTCCTTCAATGAGTCTTTTATACCCAGTGGTAAACAAGGAGGTGGAACAATAGTTGTCCGGGAGGGGTGTGACATTGTAACAAGAGAAACCTGCTCTCTACTTCTCTAAACATAAACAACTTAGGAAAAGCAGCTGTACTGCATTTTGCCTCTTGCTCTTTTCTGCGGCTGGGGCCATGCCAAACTCAGCCTGTAGATCATTTGACACAACCGTGCTTATGTCGAGTTCTCATAGGCTTCTCATAATCTGCTCCCTACAATATCCTAGGTTCACTAACAAAGGGTCTAATGGCTAGGTGACCACAGGAGGGCTTGGGTGATGTGTTTCTAGGTTGTGCTTTTGATCCAAATGTCCCCTGATGGGTGATCTTGTGGTGAACGTGGCACTTTTCCGCTTAGTTTATTAAGAATATTAGGTGATGTGGACAAATCCCTCAACAAAGAATGGTCTAGCCCCAAATACCACCAATTGCTGAGGTCACAAACCCTATGCTCAACAATTAAGTCAACTTCTTTTCTATAGGAACCTATAGAGTATAGAGATTTGTTTGGAGGCTTCCTTGGTGGGGGGATTGACAGAGCAATGTTCAAAGTTGGTGTTTGCTATTACCAGCCACTTTGTTAAACAACGGTGGCAATGTTCACAGGGTTTCTAGTTACTTCTTTTTGAAAAAACCACACATGGCACACAGTATTTTCTTAAAATGACTGACAGATTCTTCAGAGGGAAAGAACATGTTTTTATGAGTCATGTTTACATGCTGATGAAAAGAAAATAAGAGACTGTAGAAGAATAGAGTATGAGGTATAACTTCTGCCGTAAATTGTACTTAGAATTATGCTTCTGTAATTAACAATTTGAACTTATTATTGCTTCTGTGTTATTGCTCTCTTTTTCATTGTTTCTGAGAAATCTCTCCCTGACACCAATTTCAATATGTGCATCCTCCCTGACCCCTTGGTCCCCTATGCTACCCAGGCAGGAGCTCAGTTACCTGGGGCTCCTCTGTGCTGAGCTCCTGGCAATCTTCAGATTTTCTCTTTACCTTAGTTTTGAGCAATTTGATTATAATGTGCCAAGCTTGGACATTTCCAGTTATTATTTTTTCAGATATTTCTTCTGTCTTCCTCCTTTTTTAGGTGGCATCAATTATGTATATACCAAACTGCTGAGAATACCCCCATACTCTAGATATCAAGTGGTATTTTCCCACCAGCTAAGAGCATCCTGGTAAAGTACTGCCTCAAGAGGGCATTGGTGGTAAAGATTCTAAGAAGAAACAGGGGCCATAATTGCTGATTCTTTTAAGGAAAGACTACCTTTTATTCTTCACTATTGCATTTTTTTAAGCAGAAATAGGAATGTTCCTAATTTGTCCACTCTGAAATTTATGTTGAAATTAATTTCCATTGTAAGAAATGGGACTAGGTAGGACCTTTAAGAGATGATTAGGGCTTTGTCCTCATGAATTAATTCATGAAACCCTAGATGATCCACTGATTAATGGATTGTCTTGAGAGTGGGTCTGCTATAAAAGCCAATTTTTTTGCTAAGTCTCTCTCTGTGATGCTTTCTGCTACCTTGGGTCTCTATCAGCAAGAGATCAGATGCCATCATCAGGCACCAAGGTCTCTCAACCTTGGACCAGAACCATGAGTCAAAATGAACTTTTCTTTAAAACTAACCCATTCTGTGATTTTGTGTTATTAACAAAAAATGGACTAAGACATGGTACTCAGTATAACTGGAGCAAAGGCATCTAAATGGTTCAAAAATCAGACCAACATTAATTTGGGGGTCCAATATCAGAACATGTCACTCTCTAAAATACAAAGTTAAGCCCCAAATGGAGAATGATTCCAGTCTGTGGAACTGCTCATCTTTGAGAGAAGGTCTGTAGTTGACCAATCAAGTCTAGGCTTATCAAGTCTAACTGGGGATAAAAGTTTAAGTGGGAGACATGAAAGCAGGAGAAGTCACCTTAACAGGTAAAGGTGGTGGGGATGTAGATCCCAGAGTCTAGAAAGAGTAGCCCAAGTGCACGACTCAGAGATCTGTCCATCAATTTCCTTGTCACAGAGATGGCAAAGTCACCTGACATATTAACATAGTGCTTGAGTGTCTTTAATCCTGGGAGGGTTTCAAGTTCACCAAAGAGATGGGGAAGTAAATCAGAATTCACAGTTAAAAATTTGATGTTACACAACTCAACAATTAAAAAAAACCAACAACCAGGTACAAGCATTGTAATAGCCATTTCTTAGCCATTACTCATCAGGAAATACAACTCAAAACCCATAGTGTGCTACCATATCTCACCCACTAGAATGGCTAAAATAAGAAAAGATAGAGCACAATGGAGAAATTGAAACTCATACATTGCTGGTGGGAATGTAAAATTTTGTGATAACTATGCAAAATAATATGGTTGTTCTTCAAAAAGTCAAATTTAGTTACCATATGACCCAGAAATTCCATTCTTAGGTCCATCCCCAAGATAAGTCCAAGAAAACATATTGTGCATAAATGTTCACATTATTCATAATAGACTAAAACAACACAAATGTGTACCCATTGATGAATAAACAAAGTGAATATCCACTCACACAATATTCTTATGAATATTTTTCAGCTATAAAAAGTCTGATAAATGTTATCTTGAACAATCAAGAATGAAACTTTAAAACACTGAGTAAAAGAAGACACTCACAGTTGGCAAATACAGACAGATAGAAAATGGATTAGTAGCTGCCAAGAGCTGGGGGGAAGGGAGAGGAGGGAATGGAAAAAAAAATCTAATGGGCATCCTATTTCTTTTTTAAGTGATAAAAATGTTCTGGAGTTAGATGGTGTAACAGCTTTGTGAATATATTAAAAACCAATGTATTGAATGCTTTAAAGGGATCAATGTTGTTAAATCAAAATTTTTGAGATCCAGAGATCTCTAAAATAAATGGGTTTATTAAGATGTTACAGTTGCTAGCCAAAAATAAAAGAACGAGTTCTGGGATAAGTTCCCTAAGGGCACCAGCAGCATGGTCAGGTAGCAGTGGGAAAATGTCTACTGGCTGTAAGGAGCCAGGGCATTTTATATTGAAAATGTGGGAAGAAAAAGACATAAATTACTTACAATGAACCTATGGTGGCTGTAGGTAAGAAGGGCAGGACCACAGGCAGCAAGTACAACCCTGGGATAGGGTAGTCCATTCAGAAAAATTCTTGCTGCTTCTTCGTGGACTGGTTCTACAGGAAGAATGGCTGTTGTCTTGACGCTAATCGTCAACATGTGGGGATATGAACAGATTTCTTTTTCTTTTTCTTTTTGGTTTAGCTTAAAGTTGTCAGTGAAAATAAACTTATTTTTCGCTTCCCTCCATTCTTCTGTCTACTAACTTAATTTAGGATATCCTAGAATTCTTCTCTTATCAATGCTGTAACATGTGAATTATATCTTAATAATAACTGTATCTTAATTAATATAATAATTATATCTTCATTATATTTTAATAAGTTATATCTTAATAAAGGTGGTATTTGGTAGTCAGGCACTCTACCACTTGAACCACTCCACACCAGCTCTTAACGGTGCCATTTGGGAGAAAAAAAGGGTAAAGGCACTTAAGGTGCAAATTTTAAGGAGGCCTCCACTCTCATCCATGCAAATACAGGACTGACCCCGTGAGTTAGTCCCTCTGCCTAAGCGTCGGAGCCAGTCTGATTCAGTGTCTGTTTCTGTCGCTTTGTCGGGGAAGAGTGGGATCGCTGGCACACCAGCGCCGCAGACCAAGCACCGGCTATTGGAAAAGGGCTCGGCTCCTGGGAGCTGGACGCCTGGGTTCTGCGCGTGGGTCCAGCTGGATGCCTCGCGCGTATAAAGGTAAGAGGCGCGGAACGCAGACACACGGCCCCTTCCTACACTTGCACCACTTCGTGAATGTAGGAAGCCCCCCTTCCCCTATGCCCCACTTCCCCGAGACCCTAAGCCCCTCCCGCTAGGCTGCCCGCCCCGCCCACCCCGGCACCGAGAAAAGCGTCCTCCTGGCCCCGAGGTCAGCAGATTGCGTTTACAGGTGCGGACCGCGCGCTCAGAGCACAACTGAGAGAGGGCGCTGAAGGGTGGCAGGTGAGGGTCCCTCGGCGCAGGGCCGAGTGGGGCGGGGGCCGGCACGGGCGATCTCCAGAAGCTTCAGACTGCCTCTAGGGGTGGGACCGAGGACCCAGAGAACCCGAGAGGGCGGTGTCACCATGGTGTTTACGAGGCCGCTTCTCTGGAGATCCCAGCTGCGCAGTACGCAGCAAGGCTGTGTCTGTGGGTGGTCCCTCAGCGGTGCTGCGCGATCCTGAACCAGCAAAGACACGGCTTCTTCTCGGTGCCCTCTGCGTCCTTGCGAGTCCCAACTCTGGGCCCACTTATCCCCTCCCTTCTCTCCTTAGGGATCTGCACGATGATGTCATAGTTTGTCTGCCCTTTTGAAATCTCAGTATCCAATCCAGATCCTAACACTCTTTATCCACCCAAATATTTTCAGGAACTCACCTCATATTGTCAGAACCCTCCTTTTTCGTGAGCATGCTTAAAATCAGGGTGTCGGCCGCTGTCTCTGCCTTCAGAGAGCTTCCAATCTGGTGGGGCCAACAATTAATGAGATAAGGAAATACAATAAGGAATGATGAGAAGAATTGGGGTGTGTGTGGGGGAGGGGTGTTTCTAGGGTAGAACATCAGAAGCCTTGGAGCTGTGACACCTCTCAGTAGAGGTGTCCCAGTGGGATGAGAGTGGTTTGAACTTGGTGGTGCGGATGGAGTAGGGAGCCTTCTAAGTGGAAAAATGCAAAGGCTCAGAGATGATTTCGACTCATTTTTGAAAAGCCAACAACAGTGAATAGATTTTTTTTTTGGTTAAACTTAAAATATTTATGAGCTTTGAGATGAAAAAACAAAAGCACAACTTTCGCATTGCCGGTGCTAAGTCAATGAACATTCAGGGGTGTAGAATGCTGTTTTTCTTTCTTCTCTATCTCCAGACCCTGTATCATGGATACTCTTTCTGAAGCAAATGGCACCTTTGCCATCCGCCTTTTAAAGATACTGTGTCAGGACAAGTCTGGACGCAATGTGTTTTATTCTCCTATGAGCATCTCCTCTGCCCTGTGCATGATTCTATTGGGGGCAAAGGGAAATACCGCAGTCCAGATGGCCCAGGTAAGTTGCCTGTCACCCAGGAGGGACTGGCCTGCCACTGGCTGTTGTTTCCTATCACCTGCTTCATTCTCACCTCCAGAACTGCTGAAAAAGGAGGGTAGGATGTGCGTGCACCCCATTTCATGGTGGTGGGTGCCAAGAGGAAAGAAGGCAGGGAGTCTTCTCCAGACAGGTCTTTTTGTTTGGTTTTTTTTTTTTTTAAAGGGGAAAAGTTTCCCCAATTAATAACCTGGAGAAGACTCTCAAAATTTTGTGTAGCACTTTGCTTAGAAAGTGATGCTGGAATTATTTGAAATATAAATTGCTAGAATGTATCTATTTTTTGGATAATTGTAATTATTTGACGGTGAGAAGGTTAATTCCTGCCTTTAGTCTTTTCTGTACCAGTTTACTTTGCTAACTCACTGAGGGGATAAACAGAAACATAAAGGAGAGTTAAAAGGCGTGCACTTAGTCACACATACAGACCACGAGAGCACTGTCTGGCTAGGTTTAACAAGCACTTGGTAGATATCTGGAGGTGATAAAGAATCAGTCCCTATTCCCACAGGCTTGCAGGGTGGGCAGGTGCCTGAGGAAAGCCTAAAAACTTGTCACTGTGAGGTTCCTGCCCCTGCTCACACCTTCAGGGTGGGAGTGTTAGTCACTGTTGGTCTTTATTTCAGTATCAGTCAAGTGTTATGGTCTTTTCTAGGTTTTAGACAATTTACCAGGTGTGAGATTGTAAGGTCCTCATATCTCTAGGGCTCAACTGGGTAATAACCAGGCATACAATATGGTAAATATACATTGCTACTTATAACACAAAAGGAGACTATTTGGCTGAAAAAATATTTAAAACAATTATTCATTTTTCCTTCATGCTATAAATGGTAAAAGCCCATGACAAAAATCTTTAAAAATGAAAGTAGAAGAAAGGGAAAAAAAATCCCCTGTAGTCTTATTAAACAGAAATAACCATATAAGAATTAAAACATTTCCTTCCAGTCATATTTCCCCATTTTGGCTTTAAATTTTATACTTTGGTGATTAACTATATCTTAATTCTTATCAGTACTGTCTCAATTGATGTGAGGATTCAGCGAGATAATCTATGTAAATCTGGTGCCCACCATGAATAACTATTGATAATAGTGTTATCATAGCTTAGGTAAAATAGACTTCAGCTGTTGGTTTTCTATTTTTTGACAGATTTTTCTGAATTTCAAAGTTGGCTGAGACTTCCCTTATGGCCTAATATGTATTTTTGAAATATTAAAGTAGCATATATGTAATATTGTGTCTCTAGGATATAATTTTAAGAGCTCTGTTTTGGTCTTATTAGTATTGCTCACTTATTTCCCTTTGAAGAGTCCCATTATGACTATATTCCTGTCCATTTTTATTTGTATTTTTGGTATATTTGAGGATAAAAAATTGTAAATTCTTCTAGAGACTGAAGAGCACTATTGATAATGTTTTATCTTTTCCTTCACAGGTACTTTCTTTAAACACAGAGAAAGATGTTCATGTGGGCTTCCAGTCACTTCTCGCTGAAGTGAACAAGCCTGGCACAAAGTACTTGCTTAGAACAGCCAACAGGCTCTTTGGAGAGAAGACTTGTGAATTCCTCCCAGTAAGTTGAGTCAGTAGGACAATAAAAGTTGTACTCAAAACACCTGGTGATATAGTTCCCAGGAGAAAGACTACTGAGAACTTGAGAAACTTATGGGCAACCCCCCGCCTTTTTTTTTATTTGGAAATACCACAATTCTGTAACGATACCTTGCATTATTTCAAATTTGACTACTTCTAGAATCATGTACTCATCTCTGGTTATTCCACACTCAGTAATACCTACATATAAACTTTGATATATTATCTATTACACTAAGATGTGATCCCTTAAGAGATGTGTGCTAATTTTATTATTTTTTTAAAAAAGGATATAGTATTCAGAATGTTGAAGTCTTGCTGATATTTTATTTAATAAGATAGCCTTACTGAACACGTTTCTCTCCAGACATTTAAGGAGGCCTGTCTTAAGTTTTACCTATCTGAACTGGAGCAACTGCCCTTTGCCAAAGACGTAGAGATGTCCAGGAAGCATATAAACACTTGGGTCTCCAAACAGACTGAAGGTTAGAATTTCAAGTTATTTCAATGCCCCACCCCACTTCTTTCTCCTCCTCTCCTTCCACCTTTGCCTCCTCCCCACTCATCCTTCTCTCCTCCTCTCCTGTCTCCTCCTTCCTCTTCCACCCTTTTTCTTTTTTTCCTTCTTCCTCCTTCCCCTTCTTCTCCCCCTTAACTGATTTCATTGGTCTTTCACATGGTCAGAATGATGTTGACTGACTGGGCCTCTTGGTATATTTTAACCTTAGAAGATTCATTGAAGTTCTAATCAGATGCTCAGGTTTTCAATGACAGAAAGTTAATTTTGTCTGTTCCCCTAGGACTCAAATAGCTGATACAAATGTCAAAAGGAACTCATCAGCCAGATACCTAGTTTAACTGTTTCCATTAGCACATACTTTCATTGGCCTGTAATGTTCCATGTCAGGTGACTCTGCCATTTCTGTGAGAAGGAGATTGATGGGCAGATCTTTCCTGAGTCATTCACTTGGGCCACTGTTCCTCCATCCCCACCCCCTACATGTGTTAGGAGACTTTTATGGTTTCTCTTATGTCTTACATTTCATCTCCCTTAATTAGACTTGGCAAGCCTAGACTTGATTGGTCAACTGCAGACCCTCTCTTAGGGATGACAGTTCCACTGGCTGAAATTGCCCTCTATTTGGCATTGAACTGTATTCATTTCTGTCTCAGACAGTGACATGTTCCACGTTTGGCCCTTGAGATCAATAGTGGTCTGATGTTTGAAATATTCTGCACCACTAGGACTTTTCTATCTTGGCTAACAAATGGGACAGTAAGGAATGAGAGGTAGTCTTTCCTTAAAAGACACAGCAGTTATTTACCCCAGTTTTTCTTGGGCTCTTTACCACCTATGCTTTCTTGAGGCCGTAAATTAGCAATGATGCTTTTAGTTTATTAAAAAGGTACCACTTGCCAGGAGCTGGTGGCTCTCACCTGTAATCCTAGCTACTCAGGAGGCAGAGATCAAGAGAATTGAGGTTCGAAGCCAGCCTGGGTAAGGAGTTCGTGAGACCCTATCTCAAAAAACCCTTCACAAAAAAAAAGGGGCTGCTGGAGTGGCTCAAAGTGTAGACCCTGAGTTCAAACCCCAATAACTCAAAAAAAAAAAAAAAGGTACCCATGGTATCCAGGGGAAGAAGGGAGTATCTTTACTTGCCCACCGTACCTTTTTTTAGGAATGCCTGGTACTCTGTTTAGAGGATCCAATAGTAATATCTCTTCCAGAAACTGTTCATGTGCCCATCCTCTGCTTTTCCCCCTTTGGGCCATTCATTCTGGCTGCTTCTGACATGTTGGCTTCTAGTTGTAGGATGTTAGGACTGGGCATGACCATGGAGTGCTAGACCAGATAATGCATTTAACCTCTGCAGCTCCCCCTAGTCCCCACCCACCCAGCCCATCTCACATTTCCAGCTTGTCTTGCTTCCCCTGTTGTTTCTTTCTTCCAAACTGCTTTCTTTCTTCTTCTTTTTTTTTTGCAGTACTGGGGTTTGAACTCGGGGCCTACATCTTGAGCCACTCCACCAGCCCTTTTTTTTTTTTGTGAACGGTTTTTCAAGATAGGATCTCACAAACTGTTTGTCCGGGCTGGCTTCAAACCATGACCCTCCTGATCTCTGCCTCCTGAGTAGCTAGGATTACAGGTGTGAGCCATTGGTGCCTGGCTCCCATCCTGCTTTCTTTGAATGACTTAGAAGTCTTTTACTGTCCTCAACTTGGTGGATGTTCCTCAAGTGTCTGTAATCATGAATACCATGGTTTTGATTTTTTGTACACAACCATCCACACTCAGCAAATTTGAAATGAATGTTCAGATCTTCCAAGACATAATCTCATAGTTTATTTATCATATATTTATAAAAAAACAGCTAAGTGTATTCTCGGTTTTTCTTGACAGGTAAAATTCAAGAGCTGTTGCCAAGGAACTCAATTAGAGAGCAGACCAAGCTGGTTGTTGTGAATGCCATCTACTTCAAAGGAAAGTGGGATGACTATTTTAACGAAACATGCACAACGGAAATGCCTTTTAAAATAAACCAGGTAGGAGGAAGCCTTTTTTTTTTTTTTTAAATCATGTTACTTTGATGAGGAAATTGAATGGAAAAGTTTAACTTTGTAAAAGCATAGGGCTGGAATGTAACTCAATGGTAGAACTCATGCATACTATGGGACCTGGGTTCAATCCTTCGCACCTTAAAAAAAAGTAAAAAACATAAATGACTGGTTAAAAAAAATCACTTGGAACTTATTTCTGAATGAACTTTTTAACCCAGTAGAATAAATGATAAGAATAGAGAATATGTGATGCCTATAATTTTTTTTTTTTTGCTTTACTGTCACTGCAAATTTCTCCTTATCAATTGTTGCAAGCTTCTTCTGGAAACTGAAGATTTTTTTTAAGCCCAAGATGCTTAGATAGAAAACAAATAACAGGTGCTAAGGCAGAGTGATATTTGTATCACCATATGAGATATGGGGCAGGGGACAAGGAGGTAAATTTCTTTAGCCAAGTATTTTTTAAATCAAAATAAGTTCATTTGAATTGAACTTGTTCAATGAACTTATCATTATTTTAAAACATTTTGTTAATACATGGTAGATATATGTTGATTTTTGTTGTGACATTTCCATATATTCATGTATTATATCCAGTTTGGTTTATTCCTTCCATTATTCTCCCTCCTCCCACATTTCCTTTTTAAGGTGACTTCAACAGGTTTCAATGTTCCATATTCATACTTGTATAGAAAGTACATCAACCATATTCACCCTCCTTTACCCTGTTCATTTACCCTCCCTCTCCCACTAGAGCTCTTCCCTTCACATGACCTTTTTTACATTATTGTCCTTCAGTGTTTTAAGTCTCTGTTTGTTGTTCAGTGGGAATTTTGCCTTGATATTTTACCTGTAAATATATTGTACTTAAATCAGCCTAACCCCTTCCATACTCTTTCTTGTCCTTTTACCTCTACCCTGGATTGTGCAGCAGTTTTCAGTGTGATTCATTGTGTCTTGTTCCTACACACAGAGGTGATGTATTTCATTATTATACACTGTTATTCTTTTCTTCTTTTCCTCTTTCCTCTAACAGTTCCACTTTGGAAATATGTTCTGTATATATATGTATATATATGATAATGCTTATATTTGTATTGGATCTCTCTTCCATATATGAGAGAAAACATGCAAACATTGTCTTTCTGAACCTGGCTGTCTTCACTTAAGATAATGATCTCCAGTTCTATCCATATGCCTGTGAACAACAAAATTTCATTCTTCTTCATGGATGAATAAAATTCCATTGTGTATATGTATGTATGTGTGTAAAATCACATTTTCTTTATATATTCACTAGTTGTAGGGCATCTGGGCTGTTTCCACAGCTTGGCTATTATGAATAATGCTGCAATAAACATGGGTATGCAGGTGTCTTTGTTGTAACCTGACTTACATTCCTTCTGGTATATGCCTAGAAGTGGAATTGCTGGATCACATGGCAGTTCTATTTTTAGTTTTTTGAGGAGCCTCCATACTGTTTTCCACAATGATTGTACTAATTTACATTCCCACCAACAGTATATGAGGTTTCCTTTCTCCCCACATCCTCGCCAACATTTGTTGTTTGTGTTCTTGATGATAACCATTCTAACAGGAGTGAGGTGGAATCTTTTGATTTGCATTTCCTTTATGGCCAGGGATGTTGAGCATTTCTTAATTTTTTTTGGCAATTTGGACTTCTTCCTTTGAAAAAGCTCTGCTCAGTTCATTTGCCCATTTCTTCATCGGGTTATTGATTCTTTGGCAGTTTCGTTTTTTGAGCTCCCTGTAAATTCTGGTTATTAATCCCTTGTCAGATATATAGCTGGCAAATATTTTCTCCCATTCCATGGAAAATCCCTACCTTTTCAGTCTGGTTACCATTTCCTTTGCTGTGCAGAATTGTTTTTGTTTCATGTAGTCCTGTTTGTCCATCCTTTCTTTTAATTGCTGAGTCATTTGAGTTCTATTTAGGAAGTTATTGTTTATGCCTAAATGTTCCAATGTATTTTCTACTCTTTTTTTTTTTTGCGGTACTGGGGCTTGAACTCAGAGCCTTCACCTTGAGCCATTCCACCATCCCTATTTTTGTGAAGGGTTTTTCAAGATAGGGCTGGCTTCAAATTGCGATCCTTCTGATCTCTGCCTCCTGAGAAGCTAGGATTATGGCATGAGCCACTGGCGCCTGGTATTTCCTACTCTTTTCTGTACTAGTTGCAAAGTTTCAGGCCTTATGTTAAGGTCTTTAATCCACTTTGAACTGATATTTGGTACAGGGTGAAAGACATGAATGAGTTTCTATCTTCTACTTGCAGATATTCCCTTCGAGGGCAGTTCCGCAATGATCTAGCTTCCTCCCACTAAGCCCCACTTCCTAAAGGTTTCACTACTTCCCAGTAGTGCTACCCTGTGGACCAAGCTTTTAATACATGGGCCTTTGTGGGACATTCCAGATCCAAACTATAGCACTAGGGAAATTCAAAGTATCACATTCTATCCTGCTGAATAAAATCTTATCCTTCTCAGGCTAGCCCTGTATATGCTTACACTGGATGACTTTTATGATGATAGAAAAGATCTGGCTGACATGTTTCAAGTATTAACAAGAGCACTGGATATTGTTTCTATCACAGGAAAATTCCTGGAATTAACTGTGGCTCATTTGGATACTTTATTGCCTCTTCCAATAATCTGTGCTCATCTGTTCATTCCTATCAGAAGGAGGAAAGGCCAGTTCAGATGATGTATCAGGAAGGCAAATTCAACATCACCTATGTGAGTGAGGTGCAAGCACAGGTGCTGGAGCTGCCCTACGAGGGCAAGGAGCTGAGCATGGTGATCCTGCTCCCGGATGATGGCGTGGATCTCAGCACGGTGAGGTGGGAGGGGCTGCAGCCCTCTCCTCTCTGAATTTCCATGGGAAGAATCCAGTGACACCTGCCTTTATCCCTAGAATAGAACTCAAACACCACTACCATTTTTGTATTTGCCTTTTGAGTGGGTGATGCTCACAGACCTAGACCCAGCTGCAGAGCCCAGTGGGATCAAAGTTTTGTTCAGGACTGACTTCTCCCATTACTATCTACGTGACTTTGCCAAATGATGTATCCCATCTCGGCTTCCGGTATCTTGGCTTCAGCTTTCTCATTGCTAGAATGTGGTTATGATGCTGTCTGCCTGATAGAACTATTATGAGGATGAAACGGGGGCAATTCAGATGGCATTGTCAATGTGATCCATTATTATCATAATCACTGTTATTAGCATTAATATTTTGAAATCTGAGAACCTCAAATCCAGAATGAGAAAATCTCTTACTTTGATCTATCAAAGGGGTTGGGGAGAGTGGTGGCAGCAGGAAGATGTGATGTCCAGTGCTCAGAGGCCAGAGGCAGGCATACCCTAATACAGAGCTTCCCTGTCCTTGCCTCCTTGCAGCATGGTCCCTGTGGTGAGAGGCAGCCATTATCTGAATGTAGGCAATGGAGCATCCCTGACCTAAGCAGTCTTTGTGATCAGAGAAGCCCCCATGGTCTCCTTCTTTCCAGCTCCCTAACTGTAGCATCTCTCCCCTAGTGTGTTAGTTTATTGTTGTTGTTGTATGATGGCATACCTGTTTTAAACAACTTAAGGGAGGAAGGGTTTGTTCTGCCTCATTGTTTCATAAGGTTCAGTCTGCATGGTTGCTTGGGCACAGCATGGTGGCAGTGGGAGCATGTGGCAGGGTTTGCTCACCTAAAGGTGGACAGGAAGCAGAGAGAGAGAAGGGACCAGGGACCCAGTATAACCTTCAAAGCCATGCCCTCAGAGATCTACTTCATTAAGCAGGGCTCCACCTCCCACAATAGTGCCACCAACTGGGGACCTAGTGTTCAACACATGAAGACTGTGAGGGACATTTCATATTCAAACCATAACACACAAACCCAACCCAGAATCCCTCCTGCTGTGACTCACAAGGGGAACCCTTTCTTTTTCATTTTTTTCCTTACCAGTAATAGTTTGTTGTTTTTCAAACGTTATCTACTTAAAAAAAAAAAGCATAGTCTGAAAGTATAATCACTTGTCAGAATAAAAGATATCTCAAAAGTGGTTAAGGAGAGGACACCAGGCTACCTGCCTTTCAGCTGTTTTGCTTTTCCATGCACATTATATCTGGGAGAGCAGGACAAGTTGGGCCTTCACAAGCTGCCTGGCTGATAAAGAGGCTGCCAGTCCTGGGTGAATAAGCAGCTCCGTCTGCAAGAGGAGGAGGGGTGCTGTACGTGGGAGTGCCTGCACTTGTAGATATACACTCAAATCTGAATCTGAAAGTTTAATTCTGGTTTTTCAGGTGGAAAACAATCTCACTTTTGAGAAGTTAACAGCCTGGACCAAGCCAGACTGTATGAAGAACACTGAAGTTGAAGTTTTCCTTCCAAGATTTAAACTGCAAGAGGATTATGATATAGAGTCTCTGCTCAAGCGTTTGGGGATGGTGGATGCCTTTCAACAGGGCAAGGCTGACCTGTCAGCACTGTCAGCTGAGAGACACCTGTGTCTGTCCAAGTTTGTGCACAAGAGTGTGGTGGAGGTGAATGAAGGAGGCACAGAGGCTGCGGCAGCTTCAGTCATGGAGGCTGTAGATTGCTGCTTGGTGTATGAATCGCGGTTCTGTGCTGACCACCCCTTCCTTTTTTTCATCAGGCACAACACATCCAACAGCATTCTGTTCTGTGGCAGGTTCTCCTCTCCATAGGGGCGCACTTACTGTGCACGGCAGCATTTCCCTCTTTTGGAAATGCATGGCCTGTAGGTGAAAGCCAAGTACTAGATGATGGCAGATTCCTCATCCCTCTGAACTCTTTGGCAAAATAATCTCATGATGCACCACACTCAGTTCTCCCCTGCCCACTCTTTTTGTGCCACTTTACAAAGATCATGGGGCAAACACAGGTATTGTTCCATGCTGTATTTAGGAGGCAGTTAAAAAACCCTATAGGGTAGCCCAAAAAGTTTTCCTATAGATGGCCCCACATATGTTTCCCACTCATTCTACCTGAAGTCCATTCTAGCGTTCATGGAACCTCAAATCTTGTCACATACTTGCCTTAACCTTACTATTTAAACAGTAACAGACACTGCTTAGTGTTATTACTCTTATTACAGTTTCATGTAATTTGACTTTTAATACACATTTTAACGTTATCTTTCTTTGATATTCACCATTCACCAGGTATGTGCTAAACCAGTGCATAAGGCACTTGGGGAAATGAAGGGACAGAGTCAATGGTCCTTTGATACTTCGTTTTTAATATCTGTGCTAACTTACCTAGCTTTTCTGATGACTAATTTGGACTATTTAATATCTTTGAACTTACCATATGGTCTCCTTGCAAGGGTCACACCTTTCTTCATATTACTGTATTTCTCCACCTCCAACAGTTACCTCCATTCAGCCCTTTACATTCATTACAATGTCATCACAAAGACAGTTTTTCTCTTCTAATGAGATGTACATCTCTGAACTCTCATTGCAGCTACTCATGGCATGGCTTTTGCTGCTAATCTCCTGCATTCTTAGGTAGTCTTCTAACTAGGCCTGTGGGCATCAAGGGTTGAGGTATATTTCACACGTCTGTGTGCCACTTACAGATTAGTAATAAAATAATGCAATGGTAGATAAGCCCTGTAACTTTTGTAATGGTTGGGTATCACTGACTTTATTGTGTATTTTTAGATTTTTTTTGTTATGATGACATTTTTATAACATAAAACCAACCATTTTTGGGGTAGTAGAGATTGAACCCACGGCCTCTTACATACTAGGCAAAGGCTGTACCACAGAGCTATACTCCCAGCCCCCAAATCAACCGTTTTAATTAAACAGTTTAGTGCTACCAAGGACTCTGTGCAAAATGCTGTGCAATTATTACTTTTACCTAGTTTCAAAAAATTTTCATTGATAACTTTCAAAAGTTTTCCAAAAGAAACTCTGTACCCATTAAGCAGTGATTCCCAGTCCTTCTAACCTCTAGCCTCTGGCAATGACCAGTCTGCTTGCTGTGACTATGGATTTACCTGCTGTGGATATTTCATGTGAATTGAATCATACATATGACTTTTTTTTCCTTGCAGTACTGGAGATTGAATTTAGAAACTTGTACTTGTTAGGCAAGTGCTCTGCCACTTAAGCCATGCCCCCAGTCTTTCTAGTGCCTTTTTTTTTTTTTCAGTTTGTTTTTGAAATAGTATCTGCTGCTTTTGCCCAAGCTAGCCTCAGAGTTTGATCTTCTGCCTTGTTTCCCAAATGGCTGGGAGCAATTTATTTATAATACTTCATCTTCTCATTAAGGAAAATAATATGAGTCTCCATTTATTCAAACATTTTAAAAATATTTATTTAAAATCCTTTAAAAATTTTTGTACATTTCCCATCAAGTTTCTGGTTTTCTTGTTATGACTCTTCTCATGTTTTATTGTCATTGTAACAGTTATAAATAAAAGCATTTCCCCCACCTGGTTATGGATGGTATATAAATAATTGAAGTTTATACGTTTATCTTGTGCGTGACTAATTTGGTGTGCTCTTTCAGTACTTTAAAAGTTTTCAGTAAATTTTCTTGGAATTTCTACTATATGATCACACAATGGGCAGATTGTCTTTGCTAGGTATATAATTGTACAAATAAGAGAGAGTGCCTCCTTCTAATTGTTATACTCCTTGTTTCTGGGCTTTTGTTTGTTTGTTGTTTTGGTTTTGTCCCTTTTGCATTACCCAGACATTCTGAGACAGAGTGCAATTGCAATGGGAATTCTTGTGCTGTTTTTTGTGTTACTTTCGAAGTTGACAGTATCCAGTACTGGTGAACATGTGAGAAAATGGGCTGTTTGTGGGAGGATGCATTAAGACTTTGGGAAGGAGTTGAGCGAGTCACTCAAAGATTCTCTTTGGGTAAATTAATCTCACCACCCCTCTGTTTCTCTCTCATTTCTTGTCTTGCCATGTGATCTCACCCTTTCACATGCTCCCACGATTAAGTCATCTACTGTTGTTTGTAGCCAGAAGACCCTCAGTGGAGCCAGCAGTTGCTGGCACCATGCTCTTGACTTTCAAAACTATGAGCTAAATAAACTTCCTTTCCTTACAAAATACAGAAAACAGACTAATACACTCAATTTATCCAAACGTAAGATAATTGCCTACCTCCCTGAGCCTCCTTCTTTAATCAGCTGTAGGACTGGCTTCATGAGAGCAGGAATCAACCCCCATCCCATCACTGGCTAACCCTCACTAATCCTTGCCAGCATTAAAAACTCTGCCTGGACCTGGCAGAGTGGCTCAAGTCATAGAGAGCCTGCCTAGTGTGTTCAGCCTCCAGTACTGACAAAGCAAACAAAAAACCTCTGCCTGTGAGTTTAAGTCTTCTGAAGCAGAAGCATTTAGTGCACTTGATGGAAATGAGGAATCTCTCCCATCTGCCTGCACAAGCTCCTAAACTCCTTGAGGACAGGAGTTTCTATGGTTTTGCCCCATTATCTAGCACTAGGCCCAGCTACACCATTATGTTAGCTTTTCCTTGACATAAAGGAGGAAAGATTTATTTTGGTTCATGTTTTCAGAGGTTTTAGTCTAAGGACAGCTGGCTCCATTGCTTTGGACCTGAGGCGAGGCAGAGCATCATGGTGATGTAGAGGCTGCTGACCTGATAGCAGCCGAGAAGCAAAGGGAGAAGGGGAAAGGGACACGATACATCTTCCCAGGAAATGCCCCTGGTAGCCCATTTCCTTCAGCCTACTTTTTTCCTTCACCTCCTTTTCACCACATCCCAATAATGCTGTCATATTATGACTCCATCAAGGAATTAACCCATTGATGAGGTCAGAGCCCTCAGGATCCAATCACTTCCCGGAAGCCCATCAGCTGGCAACTGAATCCCCAATACAGTGTGTGTGTGTGGGGGGGGGGGGTTTGCATATTCAAGTCATTACAGTCATCTCTGAGGCCCAGTGCAAAGTGCAAATGAGAAGCCCCTTGTTCAGGATGTTGGCAGCTGAGCATCAAATCCATCTGCGAAGCTTTCTGAGTCTTTTGGGTCTACATGGGTCACAAACTCCTGCAGCTGGTTCTGACTAGTGATAGCCACTGTAGGTTTGGAACTGCCTAAGGTCCAAGTTAACATTCCAACTTTCTAACTGTTCCTATTAAAAGGAAAGAGAAACCACAGGGTTTTTTTTTGTTGTTGTTTTTTTGCCTAGTAACAGGATGCTAGAGTGGGACTCTGTTTCAATTTTGCTCATTCACAGAGGGAAAAGCAAAGAAGCACCAAGTGGAAGCCATTACTTGTCAGGCAAGGATACCAACCCGCAAGTCTCTGACTTTTGCCCAAGGGAAAGTCAGGTATTAAAGGCTATGGAGGAAGAGCGTAAGGTGGTTGTAACTACACAACACTGCAACCCAGCGGTCAGGTCAGGGCAAAGTGAGCCCAACACCTTGGCCAGGGGTGTCTTCAGGCAGATTTCTAGGGCCCTGGCGTCCACCAACTCAAAGTCTATGGCTCTTTATCAGCCTTGGCTGGCCAGCTTGTGGTGACCAAGTGCAAGAGGCAGTTCTGGCAAGTGCAGCGGATCTCCCTCTACTTGGGAAAAAAAGGAAATGTCTCTGATCTCTGAACTTCCCAAAAGAATAACAGATGTCAAAAAGCTTTTGAGAGCTTGGTAGCAAAGAACATTTTCCCTGAGACGGCCGCTGTAGTGCTAGCGTCCATGTGCGTGGGAGAGACCGGACGACTTCCGCACCAGGTTGTGCGGGGTCCTCCCCACCCGCCAGCCTCCGCCACCCAGCGCTCACCCCGCAAGGCCCACGGCGCCAGGCCCCCCACACCACCCAGCTGCTGAGCTGTTGGGTGAGGGCCCCCCACCCTGTTTTCTGTAAACATGAAAGAGTCCCTACAGCCTGAGATATGGGAGAGGACGACCCCGGTGTCCAGATCCTGCGTCGGGGACCCTAAGCCCACGCCCTCCACGCTGTACGGGTGTAGGGGAGCCTGGAGATCAGCCCGGCTTGGCGCAGTGGTTTATTTCCAGACCTCCCGGAGCGGAGGAGGAGGCAGAGCGGCTTTGCGATGGGGACCTGCCCTGGGTGCTGCGCCGCCCTGGGCACCCATGGCCAAGCTTAATCCGGAGCAGCCTACATCCTCCGCGGGGCAGGGAAGCTGTGGGGAGGGGACCTAACGGGCAAGGGGAGTGCCCGCCCCTCTGCTCCCCACCCCCCACCCAGCCTGCGGAGGCAATGGAGACAGGTGAACCTCCTAGCATCAGCCTCCTGTCGGTTCCAAGGCCAGGAAGTGGGGGCGAGTGAAGGGGGCCGGGCAGGATGATTGCTTTCGGTTTCACTGGCCTTTTTCCTCGGGCCTCCCTAGGGATCCCTGGTTATCTGGGGGAAGAATTCATTTTAGCTTTGGGGGACGGCAAGGAAAGACCAGGGATACAGTGTGTGCCTAGGATTAGAAAACAGGGCTGGTGGTTTAAGTGCAGTTGCCCGGGCAGGGACCTTCAAGGTCCATTTTATTAAGGGCGTGGCCCCTTGATTCCTATTTATTACGCTTGGGTCAGAGAGAACCATAGAATAGAAGCTGGAAAGGATCAGGGAGGGAAAACACTGGGAACCATGATGTTGATGTCCCTAAAAAAAGCACTGATTTAGTCCTAATGCATAGTTAAGGCCACAAAAAGTGGAGAGAAAGAAAAGAAGCAAAATAGGAAGAGACAGGCAGTTAATAAGTAATTAATGCAGAGGGAAGGCGTGTGGCTCTGGGCCCATGCTATTGGGACGTCTTTGAACAGCCAGAGGCAGCACAAGAG